CGCGAAAATGGGGGCACCGAGTCGTAATTAGGGCACCGTGAGCCCAGATGGAGATCTGCTAGTCTAACTATCAGAAAACCCCCTTAACTTTGGGCGATTGCCAAATAACCCCCTTATCTTTCAAATTATCATAAAAGCCCACTAACGTTAGGGTTTAAAAGGGGTTATCAGAAAATGTCCACTAACTTTAAATTTTCATCAGAAAATTATAATGTGCCAGGGTAGAGAGGTGATAGTTCGCTCTAAGACGGACCGAGGAGGTCGCTTAGTGCCTAAACTTGATCAAGATCTGGTTGGTGCACGTCAATACATTCAAAGCTAATGTTCGAGAACTAAGTTGGTTTTTGGGATCTGAATTTGCATTGGAGTAAGCCGAATCTTACTTTAAGTTCAGTGTTTTAGGTCACGCGGCGACTGCAACCAAAATTTTCACTACATAGTTTTGGAAAGTTATTTTTCCATTTGAATGTACAACTATGAGAAAAACAAATTATATATATATATATATATATATCAAGAAATCAAGAATTTTTGTGGACTAGCTATAGATTAAACTAACTGGAAATAACTGGTATAATAATTATTATTATTTTTCCTGATTCGGTAAAATCCACGGAAAAGAAAAAAAATATTTTTTTATCGTCAAAAATTCATTTATCTCAGCTATTCGACAAGAAAAAGAGAAAAACTTCTGATCCATTGAATTTCAAGTATTCAGTTTCACTGATAAGATATGGAGACTTACTTCACATTTGGAATTACATAAAAGAGATTTTTTTATCGCAAAGGGGTCTACAAAAAATTCTGGGAAAACGTCAACGGTTGCTGAATTATTTGTCAAAGAAAAATAGAGTACGTTATAAGAAATTAATTGGTCAATTGGGTATTCGGGAGTCAAAAACTCATTAATTTGAAGATTGGTTTTAATTTTTTTTTCTTTAGTTATTTGTTATTAGTTATTTGTTAATAGTAGTTATTAGATTTTTCATTGTGATGAACCTCGTTTGAGAAATTCATGGAATAATGAATTAAGGAAGGATTTTTCATTGTGATGAACCTCGTTTGAGAAATTCATGGAATAATGAATTAAGGAAGAAAAGATATGATTGTATCGGCTACAAGAAAAGATCTCATGATAGTTAATATGGGCCCTCACCACCCATCAATGCATGGTGTTCTTCGATGATAGTTAATATGGGCCCTCACCACCCATCAATGCATGGTGTTCTTCGACTGATCGTTACTCTCGATAGCAAAGATGTTATTTGTTTGCCTTCTTGTTTTGATGATGATTTACAAACAATTTACTTCTAATGTTGTTTGTCTAGTGTTTGTATTTTTGTATCAATTGTAGATAAACAACATGTTGGAGGATGGATGGATTGCGCCATAACGATCATATAAAATGGAGGTTGGCGGAATAGTGGAGTGAAGCAATACAATTCAAGTTCAAGCTTCATCGGTATGTTTACCAAGTCAAGCTATATTGAAGATCAAGATTGCTTGGGTAAATAGCTTATGTTTTATATTATGTGTGTTAGATACTTTAAGCTCAATCATATAGATACACATACAAGTTTTGGTTTCTATATATATATGTGTGTGTGTGTGTGTGTGTGTGTGTGTGTGTGTGTGTGTGTGTGTGTGTGTGTGTGTGTTTTGGTTTTATAGTTTTCAAGTTTAAATATGAAACAAATGAATATAATTGGAAAATACTTATTGTTTCATGTTTATATGTGCTTGTTATGATTTCATGAATATCAAGTTTTGAAATCATGTTTATGGTTTTGGATATATTGCAAAACATGTGTATCTTCGTCAAAATATTATATTCTTGTTTATGGACTTAACAATCACGATATACATCTTTTATTAAGTCTATAAGAACGTTTAAAAATATTTCAAAGTTGTGTTTATGTCAAAACATCTAATTTCATATATACAAACATTTCACCAAGTTTTACTAATTTTGGAGTTGTTTTGTTATTTTCAATTGAATTTACAAAAACGAGTTTTCAGCAGCTTTTCAGAAACTGTTTATCTATGTTCAAACAATTATTTATCTCAACTGGGAAGTGATTTTTCAGAAATTCTTTTTCTAACATGTTCATCTACATGTCTAGAACCTTTTCTCA